TAGCATGATAGTCTCCAATTCCATCCATTTACCAGCAAATGTACAAAGTCTTTATGGCTAAGCAATATTCCATTGTGTACCACATTTTCTTTATCCATTCATATGTTGAAAGGTACCTAGGTAGGCTCCATAGCTTGGCTATTGTGAATTGTGCTGTTATACATATTGAAGTGGTTGCATCACTGTAGTATCCTGATTTAAAATCTTTTGTGAGGAGTGGGTGACTGGGTCAAATGTTGGTTCTATTCCTAGTTTTTTGAGGAATCTCCATACTGCTGTCCAGAGTGGTTGCACTAATTTGCAGTCCCACCAACAATGTATGAGTGTACCTTTTTCCTCACATTTTCACCAACATTTATTGTTATTTATATTCTTGATAATTGCCATTCTAACTAGAGTGAGATTAAAAATCAAAGGTGGGCTTAATGACCTATTATCAGACAAGGGAAGTCAGAGATTTTTTTTTTTCAGTGCTGAGAATAGAGAATTCTCTTATAGCTAACTAAAGGCAGGGAAATATTAGAGTTTCTTAGGAGTCACTATCAGAAAGAGAAGTTCTAATTTTGTTTTCCTGTGCTGTAGATTGAACTAAGGACCTAGCACTAGGCAAGTGTACCATTAATCTATGTCCACAGCCCTTTTTAATTTTTCATTTTGAGACATAGTATCACTAAGTTGCCCAGCCTGCCCTCAACTTGCAATCCTCCTGCTTCAGCCTCCAGAGTACCTTGGACTACAGGCATGCACCACAACAGCACCCAACTTACCACCGAAGTACTATACCTTTGACTTTCACAGATTTTCCAGAATACATGCAATTAGCAGATGGCTCATATAACATAGTAAGTTCTATAATCAAATGTTGAGAACTATTATGATTGAAACTAATTGTCTTCACATCCTTACTATTATCTCTTCAGAGGACTTTCCTATCAATGCAACTTACCTGCATCATGACATTTAGTGTATATTTTTGATTTTCTCGCTTTGCTGTAGCTTTTGCTTCTGTAGCCTCCTTTGCTTTCTCCTGTGCTTGTAAAATAGATTTTTCTCTTATTATCTGCATCATCTCTTTGTCCACTAAAATATAAGGAATATTGGTAAACCAGGATTATGATAAATTCTTTGACTTAGGAGAAAACTACTTAATATACTAAATCAAGATGAGATTTATTCTGACCCAACTTCACAAGAAGTGAAAATATGTTTTAATATTCAACTGACCAGGGGTTAACATTAAAAAGATAAACAATTTATGGTAATAATAATACTGAGGGGGGGACAGGAAGGGATCAAAGAGGGATGCACAGGAATGAGAGAGAAGAGAGGAGAGAGGAAGGAGTAAAGATGGAAGAATAGGAGACAGGAGAATACATTTGTCTTCCTTCCTTTCTGTTGAGAACTAGTGCTATTTGCTTATAAACCTGATCATAGTGATTCGTCCCTTGGTATCTCCTAGAAGGGAAGATGAGTGGAGATCACTTGAAATAATCCACCTGAAATAATCAATCATCTTCTAAAACATAGTATTCATTCATACATATAAAGAAGAGAGGGCCAGGCCCAAGAAAATTCCAAAGTAGCATTGACATGTTCTATGTACAGCTTTACCATTTGCAATTATATTTATTGTGGCTCAGTGTTTTACAAACTGCAGACTGTGGTCCTTTAAAGGGTAAATTATCTTGGGGAAGGAGAAATCAGAACCTGAGAGAAAGAATCTAAGAGAGGAGGAAATTGGTGGTGTGGGGGGGGGCAGGAGGTAGGTCTGAGGCCTCTCCCCAACACTCTTCTATTTAGAAAGAAGGAAACAGACAGTTGGATAGTTTCTGGAGCAGGAAAAAAAATCAAAAGAATACAATTTT